TTAATATTTGTAGTTTTTATTTTAATGTACTTTTGTATGACGTGTATCTTGAAAAAGTTTGAGAATTTGAATGGTTTTAAAAATACGCGGATGTTGTTGATAAAAGTTTAGKGTATGATCGGTGTAAGATTATAGAAGGTACCTTACACAAGTATTTTTTTTCCCGTACAGAAACTTATACCAAGCTCATTGTTTTTATATTCGTGTAGGAACTTACACATATCATATTTTGAAGGGGTTAACGGATAGGTATATTTTTTACCTGCGTTACTCTCGTGWACAGCAACTTATTACTCCTTCCATATTTACATTGAGAATTTTATTATACAGAATATTACATAAATGCAGATGACGAATGTAGATTTGTATCCTCGAAATCTTGAAACATACGAAAAATACCTTCAAACATTGTATTTTTTGATTACAATAAAAATAAAAATATATGGCAACCGTTATAACTTTTCAACTGCCATGTACATAATTTATTATTACCTATYATTATTGTCATTGTTATGTTTTGTGAGAATTTTGTTATATTTTCTTAAGCAGGTATATATAATATACAGATCACTGCAATCAGTGTAAAAGAGACGTTTTGCGACATTAAATTATAAYCATGGGATTAACAATAATATAAGAAAACAAATTGTTTTMTAAACATAATTCCCTTCCCCTCCCCCTCCTAAATAACATCATGTACGCACGTGAATGGTAACGTAAAACTGGTATGTGTATTATACATATTATACTTGACGACCTTGCCACCACTTTTCGCTTTGTTTATTTAAATGTTTATTCGTTCCCCTCCAATTGTGCATTATTATTGCTACGGGAATAGTTAATGAAGTAATCGTGCATCTCATATACCTACACAACTATCATTCGAACTGGCATAACGATTTGATCGCCGACGTCGATGAGTCTATACCTAATTGTGCTCGAATAGAAAACTAACACGCTCGTTTCTCGCCGATATTAATTAATCATGCCTTTAATAGACGACGGATCTGGGATCGTTCTCAAGGGTAAGCCTATATGTTATGCACGCATARTGTTTTAAATAATAATAATAAAAAAAACTCGGAATTTTTGAGTTTTTCCCAAAGACGACCGGCCCTTAGCAACCAATACCTACCCAAATCGGCTTTCATATGATGAGTTACATAACACCTATATAACACGCACTCTCAAGACTTTATTTCAGTCATTGGGCTAATGACTTGAGTAATAATTTTTGACATAAAGATGCAATTAATCCTAGATTCACGGTATTTCCGATCTCTAAATATCTTGTTTTCTTGATCAGCCACTCTTTAAACTCTTTCAACTCCACTAGTGTTATTCAGCATGTGTATTGTATTATTTTACCAATCTAACCTAACGTTTAAATATTWTATTTCGATTTTCATTTTCTGTCTCCGCCAGAAGGTTACCTATTACACCGTAACAGGGTTAGAAAACCGTTA